TGCTTTTGAGATTTTATTAAAAAGCGATTTATAAACTTTCATTTAATAATATATATATATATATATACATATATATATATATATTCTGTATTATTTAGTATAGTTTATTCTATATATATATATATATATATATATATATATATTCTGTATTATTTAGTATAGTTTATTCTATATATATATATATATATATATATATATATATATATATATATATATATATATATATAGAGAGAGAGAGAGAGAGAGAATAAATTTATAAAGATAAAACGAGATGAATCGTTGGTTGAATCTTAATTTGATGCCTTGTCTTTCATCATAGAAATTATTCAACAATTACAAACAGAGTTCAAAACCGTTTAAGCATGTAAGAACGATGTTTTTAATTGGATATAACATTCTAGGAACGAAACATTTTAAAATGTAACAATGAATGCTACATTGACATTTATTAGTCTAATGGTGAATCTTAAACAAATGTGCTGGCTAGTAGAGCTCCGAGCGAATATACGCAATGCGGTTTCAATTCTCAAAAATCCGCGGATTTTGTCCGAGCGGTTTGCCGCGGATGCCGATTCAAGTGCGTTTTAAAATAAATATATATATATATATATATATATATATATATATATATATATATATATAATTATAAGGTCCTCTATTCAGTACATCTCATTTAATTGAAAAAGCGCCTATCATGAACGGCATGTTCGTATTTGTTTGTATCATGTGTTTGTTTTTGGTATTGTATGCGTATTGCGTGTGTGTGCGCACAAAACAAAAACAATCACTAAACATGGAAAGGGGACGATACCAAGTTACCTACCTATTTTTTTCTAAACTTTAATTTAGTTCCAGCCATGGCTTGCTTATGTTCAACTAACTCAGATCTCACCTACTTACGTTCAACTAACTCAATCCCTAGCTTACTTATTGTTTGTTAACACAGCTTATTTTACACTTAATACTTGTGATTATATATAACCTAAGTACGAAAAATTAAGAAGAATAGACAAATTACAACAATAAAACAGCTAATACATGCATACATGTTTATGTGTGTGTGGGTATGTATGTACGTGCGTATATATGTATGTTTTTAACTTATGTGTGTATGTATTTTGCGTATGTGTGTACGTTTGAATTTTTATAGAACTTTCTAAATAAAAAAATTAAAAAACTGAAGAAGCGCATCTCACGTCAAGGGCAGCTGAAAGAATATACAAGTAGAATGTCATCGGCAGTCCTTTTTATAAACATAACTTGTTGAAAACGATACTGTCATTAACGTATTTTTAGTTAAATACATTAACGTTTTTCAGTTAAGTTTTTGTTTTACGAATTCATATTTTTTTTATTTAAATCCAAATTTAAAATAAATTCATTAAGTTTAATACGTTTCATAATCATGGACAGGAATTTAAATTGAAGTAACTATTTTGCTATATAAAAATTTGTTTAGAATTAAATCTGTGAATTGTGCCAGTTGCACGAAAACATTCGAATACCATTTCACCGGTTGGTTGTTGATCGCAGAGCTGAAATTTTATTTTACTATTACGTTGATTTTGTTGGCGGATGAGATTGTGACAATTTAGGAGACAATAAAGACAAGGCTGTATGTGAATTAAAGATTGAATGAATGAACGAACGAACGCACGGATGGATGGATAGTTCCCAAAGCGGCTCTCACAGCAAAAAGTTTGCCCACCTCCGACATACACGCATCATACATAAATATCCTCAAAAGCTTATTTAGGTTGCCTCTTCAAGAGTGCGGTGCGGATGCGGGCGGTTGCGGGCGTGAACTCTGCGGATGCGGCCATTGCGGTTTAAAAAATCTTCTCTGCTTGGGACTCAATTGTCTAGCACCCTAACAACTGGCAATGTTGATGATCTAAAATAATTTTTAATGTTTCAAGTCTTAAAAAACAATTTCCGTTTCATTTCCGAGTTTGAAAAAGAAAGAAAAAACTACTTTAATACATTCTTTAAAAAATATATAAAAACAATACTTATTAATCATTGCATACAATTTGAAGCCATATCATCCATCTTTAAAACATTAAAGAAAGATGATTAGTCATCAGCAACGATTAACACAAGTTACTTTTGGAATTAAAATATTATTAGTGTTCATTGTTAACATAATATTGTAAATTTCTTAATAATTAGGCAGGTTTCTTTTTTTTTCTCTAAGATAATTCCTCTGTCAGTTAACATCAGATAATAATAATTTAACAAAATGCGTAAATGGCACATAAATGGTTAATGAAATTATAATTAAAAAACAATTAGAAACCAACGAATTGTGATGTATACTTTTATATGAAACAAACAACATTGTGAAACTGTTCTGTATACAAATAGATTATAAATCAAAACTGCATGAAACTTTAAAGCCATCGTAATATTTTTTATAAAAAAAAGCTAATGCACATTCTCCAGATATTTTCAATGCATTGTTAAAATACGTACACACTTTATAAATCGCAAAAACTTAATAGAACGTCACATTCATACGCCTAACGTAAACATCCAAATTAAATCTAAATTGAAATGTTGTTTCTGCTTTTAGTCAGAATTGAAATTCTAAAGTAGGACACGCTTGTCTTAACAATATGGTTCATTAGAATTTTCAGTTCCAATTCTTTTCAACATAACTATAAATAACTTTAAAATTAAATTTTGTCATTCTTTAAAATTAATTAATACGATTTTATTCTTGATAACAGTAAAATTTGAAAAATTAAATTAAAATTATCACTGATATTTTTGTTGATTACCACCATCAGGTTTTGTTTATTATGTATAATAATTAACAATAATAATAACAATAATAAAATTAAACACTATACAATTCAAGATATATGTAATTTAAAAAAAAATATGGAAAACTATAAACTTGTATGGTTTGCTTCTCAAATATGAATGCATGTATGAAGAAAAAAATTGGTTGATACAAGAAAAAAAATGTGTGCAATCCCAGAACATGAAACAAAGCCATCCATATATAATATGTACAATAGAATATTTCATTATGAAAACAAAGCTTTAAAGAGATCTTATAGTTCATAAAATCTGAAACTGCGTAACAAATATAACAACTATAATAAACAATCATAAATATAATTCATGTTCCTAAACAAAAACAACAGCGTTCAATGTTGGTTGAATGAGTAAAACATAATTTGAAAAAAAAAACTAACAAAATTTGCTGGATAATAAAAAGATTGGTGGTTAATTATTATTATTTCAAATACTTACTTCAGATACCTATCATATTTTACCTCATGTTCTACCCCCTCCCCTTCTCTTTAATCAGCTGAACTTACAAATAGCACAGTTGTTGAATATATGCCAATGTGCATGTTGTTTAAGAAGATGAGTTAATATTACATCATTATTGATAAACCACCTGCCACCAATCAATCCTAACCGGATGATGAGGAAAATAATAATAATAACAATAATAATAATAATAATAATAATAATAATACAAATTACTACTATTCTTGTTATTACAGTTTCTGGTTAATAATAAAAAACGAAAAAGTTAAGAATATTAGGAAATAAAGTGCACTATATTGCAGGTGAACTATTACACAAATGCTCCGTTACTTACTGATTTGTAAATCAATCAGACACACCCATCCACATGTAGCAGACGTACCATCAGACAATATGTTATCACTCCAGTGACTTTTTTGTAGCTTTTAACCACAGTTTAAAACGCTCACCTCACAAACGTCTGATGTAGGCATTTATTTAATATAACGATATGAATTCTCACATTGCAGTGTTTAAATTAATTTAATGCACTTACCATTCGGTATTCTATTTAAAACATTATTTCAATTTTATTCATAATTAAAACTTTACGCTAATATCGAAATAATTAATTCGTAAATGTGTTAATTCTTAATTAGATTAAGAGCGTGGTAAATGAACATTTAATTTTTTCTATGTTATTTTAAAATAAGTTGGTAAAGTTTTATCATTTTTGTCAGCATTTCGTTAAATCAGTTGGAGAAATGTAAAAAAGACAACCAGCACTAGCTTACTGGAAGATGCATGAATGGTTGTGTTGTGAATAAGTGAGCATGGAACTTTACATTTAGATGACGACCAACTCATTAGAAACTGAGGGTCATCATCTGCAAAATGTTGATGATGATAATGATATAATAATAAGAAGAAGAATAATAATAAATGATAATGATAATAATAATAATAAGAAGAAGAATAAATAACTACTCAAGTCATGATGACGAAGACAATAATAATAATTAATAGATAGCTATAACTACTCATCATCATGAAGAGGCAGTCCTTTGTTTTTTGACATCAAAATGAACCTCTCCATCCATCCTTGTTGAGTTCACTGAATCAATGGACTTCCTCTTGTTACTGGAATCACTAATGATGAGCTGTGTTTTCATCTGTTGTTGTTGGTGTTGTTGCAGAAGATGTTGTTGTAAGTGTTGCGACTGTTGCAAGTGATGTAGCTCTTGAACCAACTGTTGCTGTTGTTGCTGTTCATGAAGAAGTTTTTGTTGCAAATAACGTTTCTCATGTAACTTAGCTTCAGTTGCGTTTTGTTGTAAGTTTATATGTTGTTGTTGTTGTTGTTCAAGTAGGTATTGTTGTAGTACCTGCGGCTCAGAAGATGGCTGCTGCACAAGTTTTTCTTTTAAAATCTTCTGTTTGAGGTGCTGCTGGTAGAGGTAGAGTTCTTCTGCTCTTATTTGTTTCCCAACATTTTGAACAGGTTCATTTAATTCTGCACCTTCCTCTTCTACTGCATTTCTTCTTGGAAGGTCAAAGTTCAATATTGTTGCCGTCCTCTCTGAATGGTTCACACTGACGTCCTGCTTGTAATAAAGATTGTTAATGATAATAATATTTAAACAAATGATAATTATTAGTACAACTAATTACAGAAATTCAGAGTTGTCTGTCATTGTACAAAGAGTGAGCAGAAAGTTATAAAAGTTATAAACTTATATAGCAAAAAAAAAATTATCAACCTTCACTTCATCACTTTCATTAGTGTTTGCAGGGAGAGCAGCTGAATCGCTATCTATATAGTATCTTTGCTGCGGTTGTTGTTGTTGCTGTTGCTTTTGAGTAAGTAATAATTGTTGTTGTTGTTGAATGTTTTGAAGTAACTGCTGCTGTTGTATGTGTGGAATCGTCATGAACACTTGTTGCTGTTTCGGATCTGGACTCTTCATTAATAGAAAACAAAAAGCTAACTTAAGCCATACAGAACAATAAAAAATGAAGGCATATTAAAAGTAGATGAGCAACATGGAATGTTAATCTCTCTAGCCCTTCCCTTAAAGCATTTTACTCAACAAATAATGCCTATCACTTAAAACGCACCTTAAACTTTTTGGCAGTTGAAAAATGGAAAACAATGAAAGATAAACAGCTTGAGTTAATTCATTTTGAATTGAATTGAGATAAGACATAGTTTCCAGCATACACCAGCATGCAGTATGGTGGTAACCCGGAAAACATCCTCATGAATGATCAACTCAATCATTAAACTCATACTAAATCTATCGTTGAAAAATTTTTCTCAAGTGATCATTATTTAATTACTTATAAACGACTATTGAACCTGTAAAGAAGAAGGGCCTGTTTGTTCGTTATCAACTTTGTTGGTAGCTTGCATAGAGGGCAGAAGAATGATTTGATGTTGAAGTTGTTGTTGGAATTGTTGCTGCAACTGTTGCTGCTGCTGTGGGTTGATAGCAGCTCCCAACATAACTTGAAGACCACCAGTCGGTAATGTGTATAAGGTTCCTCCTTGGAGTTGTTGAATTTGATGCTGGATTTGTTGCTGCTGGTGCTGTAATTGTTGTTGTTGTTGCTGCTGCTGCTGTTGTTGTTGTTGCTGCTGCTGTTGTTGCTGCTGCTGTTGTTGTTGCTGCTGTTGTTGTAGTAATAGTTGTTGATGTTGTAGCTGTTGCTGTTGTTGTTGTTGTAATTGATGTAGTGTCTGCTGCTGTTGTTGTTGTATATTTAATGTTCGTTCGTTACTGTTAATATTATTTTTTTGTTGAACATCAGACGGTGACTTGTTAATAACCACAGCTCCTGGTTGCAACAATTTTTGCAACAACAGCTGTTGAATGCTGCTGTGTTGTGGCAGATCATGTTGTTGTTGTGGCTGTTGCTGATGTTGTTGCTGATGCAGTTGATGTTGTTGTTTTTGTTGCTGCTGTTGTTGCTGTTGTTGATAACTTTGTGAAAGCTGTTGTAGAATGGCAACAGGTAAAACGGCTTCAGATTTCAGTTGAGAACCAGTTTGGGATTGATTAAGGAGGAATATAGGTTTTTTCTCTAAAACTAAAAAATAACAAATATTAAAATAAACTAATTCATGCTTTAACTCAAACCACTTTAAGTTGAAATAATGATTTAATGAACATTCAAGAAATTACACAAAACTAATTGCAGCTTTCACACATTTATTTGTTATCAAACCAACTTCACCATGCTGGTCAGCAAGTTAGCTCAGTTGGTTGGAGACCAATTTCGTGTTCTTATTACACAATGACTTGGTTCGAATACTATCATATCCATGCATGCATAATGTGGTGCTTGCGTGGTGTTAAATATGCACAACGTATACGCAATGTGGTGATAGATGCTACAGCCTTTGAGGCGTGACAGTTTAATTTTCAAGTGTATATTAATGGGGAAACAGTTCCGCCTATTCAGAGCTGCATAATACTGAAGAAAAAAAATTATATATAACTTATTGGCGAGAATTTTATCATTCAGGCGCCTAAAAGATTTGCATAGGAACTTTTAATTTTATAGCAGATAGTTTTCAACCATATGAATTGATGGATGGAAAAATTATATATTTCATTTTGAAAAGCAATAAATATAGCATAGCAAATAATAAGAGCATACCATGAGACTATGCATACAACATGAAAATTTGTTTCTTGATCTTGCAAAGGTATGCTTTCAATTTTAAGATATGAATAACCAAAAATCTCTCTAACCTTCACTAACAGCCTGTGAATTATCATTGCCAGCAGGTGAAGGATCATTGCTGTTGGAAAGCGACCGATGCAACTGCAGGTTGGAGGAGTTAACCATGTTGTTGGAGCAAGTCGTTGCTATCACAAACTTCTGCTGGTCCAAATGTGCTGCATCAAAAATAAAAAAATACTGCTCAATTGCCGTAAAAAACACGAACAATTCAATAATATAGAATCCTCTCCATATCACCTGATTTCAGAAAATAAATTTAACTCAATGGTAATACGATAAACATAAATGTTGTTGTACTTTCAATTAAAATAACATTTTTTATTTATATCCAATATGGAATGTACGTGAACAACACGAATGAATAAAGGATGGAGAGCATGAGAGAACAGTGCAACAAACCAGTCAACTGATGTATTTGTTCTGAAGACAGCTGAATGCATTTTTGAGGAAGGCTTATTCCTGAATAAGATTTTATTTAGTAAAGCTATACAGAAAGTAGAATGTTGAGGAATGTGAGTAACCTGATGCAAGTAAGTAAATAGATAACATCATCATCATAAATACAACATAAACAACAGCCTTGCCAAATCAACATTTATTAATAAATATAAATGCACTGACAACTGTGCAAAAATATTTAAAAATAGCATAAAGTTTACATTAAAAACTTTAACCTGAATTTAAGTATTTAAAAAACACCAGAAACCCATGCAAACGTAATGACTGTATAATCAAAAATTCATACGCAAATAAACAAAACTGAAAATGATAAATAAGAAAACCTTGAGGCAGTTTTATAATCTGTGAACTCAAGAGTTGAGTATGCAGTGGTTTTGATTGGTTGTCGTTGCTAGGCAGGTTAAGAGGTGGTTGTTGTTGAACTTGCAACACATCAAACGTAGAATTGTCATTTGATTGATTGGGGGATGATGGGCCAGATCTTTGAGCATAAACAAAATCATAATAAATGGAATAATTATTGATCACAAATACTTTTATCATATTCAAAACCGGAATTGGTAAAAAAGATTGTGTCCAATTTTATAAAAAACAATAAAAAATGATTAAATGTTATTAGAAAAGTTTGAAGGAGAAACCTTGACGAGTGGTCATTGTTATTGCAGCCATTACTGTTGTTGTTGTTGTTGAAAGACATGCCAACCCTCTGCCGCCTTCTTTTGAATGCCTGCTCGATCAACTTGTTCTCTGACGTTGGTTCTATCTTCCAGAAAGATCCTTTGCCAGGTTCCTCTTGTGACCGAGGTACCTGTGTGCCAGTCAGTTCTTTTCATTATTAACTCGTCATCATTAGTGACTCATTTAGAATCCAATCAGCACAACCATTATACCCGATCACCACTATCAATCAAAATTAACATCCCATAATTATCACTATCATTATCCATTATTTTAAAATATCTATCTATTGTCCATTTAAATAACTTTTAAATAATTATTCATCAATTATTAATTATTCGAGAAAACGAAGTGGAATGATATAAAAGGGAACTAGTTTATAATACATTAAAATTTCACTACTCATTTGAACAGCTTAATAATTACCTGTTCAATCAATCGTTTGATCATTCAATCAACCATTTGATCATTCAATCTATTAATCAATCCACTAATTAATCAAACAAACAAATGAATAAAAAAAACAAACAAACATCATCACCTTCATGAAGAATCTGTTGAGAGACAGATTGTGCCTGATGGAGTTCTGTAAACATTGATAAAATTAAAAACAAAGGAAAGAAACAAGGACATTTTAATGTTCCTTTATTTCAAAACACTGTGTTCTTGTCCTATTTATTTTCAGCTACTCCAGTTTTCTGCCTTTGTTCTCACCTTATTTTTGCTCATCGCTAAATAAAACTATAACAAAAGCAAGCAACACCTTCAAAACTGTAAAGGTGTGAACATGATCAATTCTGTAGAAAAAATAATATCAGGGAAAGATGAGATTTTTTGCTTTAATTAGTGCTACGTTTGCAAGCAATTCCCTCAAAATTTGTAGAGTGTTTTCCATTGATTATGGACAATTAATAAAATTCTTCAGAAAAAAAATAAAATAGTTATTCAAAACTGAAATCTCTAAATTTTTTTCAATGGCATATTTTACTGAAATAATACAAGATTAAAAACAAAATGATAACTTGAATTATTTCTCTTGTTATTTAAAAATGATCTTACTAGTGCAATTCTTCTAACAGGGTAACAATATTATATTCCTTATGCTAAAAAAACAATACATCCAACATTTGTAAACCAACAGTGTAGCTCTTTTTTCAATTGTACTGAATGAAATAATATATTAAAACAATTGAAAACTTTTCCAATGTTTTCGTCACTATGTATAACAAATCAATAGACATTGGAAGCTTGTAGCTTTGTCACTATGAATTGCAGTTAAACAATTCAAATTTAAATTGATTAGAAGACAATTTAGAACAAGATTCATTCTGGAAGCCTACAATGTAATGTTTGTGAATAATGTATAACTGCTGAGAAATACGCCATTGATCTAATCTATAGAGACAAAAAAAACTACACACACACGCACACACACATACACGAACACGCACACACACATACACAGGCACACACACATCATATGCATACAAATGTATATAAATAACTACACCATATGTCTATATAAGCTACTTGATAAGGTCTTTGAACATCCACAACAACGATGTTGATGATGATGCCGATGATGATAATGGTTGGTGGTTATATAGGTAATGTGCTGCTTTGTATGCAGGACACAGACACAACAGGTGAATAAACTTTACTGCTACTTTGCATTCAAATCTAGACCATAATGAATGAAATTTCATGTGCTATTGAAAATTTCTGTCTTGTTCTTTAACTCACTTTGCAGCACGCCTGCTAACATTATCTGATTAATTTATTTACACTTAGCACATTGTAAAATAATAATAATAATAAAATGGGAAACAAGATTATGAAAATGATAGGTGGTTATGCTTAATGCTCTGCTTTTATATGTAGGACAGACATTGAACACAAAAAACTGCATCTTAGTCAACCTGACAACCAATCAACAAATCAACTTAACTATGAAGCAATTAACAACATTCATTTAATAAACTATCCAATCAATCAACCAACCCACAAACCAATCAACAAACTAACCAAACAAACAACAGCCAGCCAACCAACCTGCCAGCCTTTATCAGAGGGCCTATAATAAGGATAATGCTTGCTGATGTATGCATATATGCCACTCAACGTCAGCTGCCGATCATCTTGCGAGGAGATGGCCTGCACAATGAGTTGAGCGTACGAGTAAGGAGGCTTGATCGGTGACTGTGCATCGTTACCTGCTGCCTCATCGACAACGTCCTCATTCATCACGACGTCGTCATCAGCTATTGATGTCATGGCCGATGATGACGGCGGCATGCTCATGTCAGGAACGTTACGGAGGTCAAAGTTCAGCGGGAAACGTCCACCACCACCACGAGGACTTGTTGGACATGAGTTAGCTGCACTGTGATGTGGAGTGATGATGTAATGTTGATGTGACATGGCATGTGCTTGCGATGTCAAAATGTTATAAAGTTATAGACTTATGATGAAATGGTCCTATGGAGTAATGTTGCATGATGATTTGCTGGAGGTGATGTATTGATGCAATGACGAAATGATTAATGAAATTTGACACAAATAAAGAGCCAAAGCTGATGACACAGTTTTTGAGTTGATGCTAAAGTTAAGAATAATAATAATAATAAAGTTGTAGATGAATGAGATAGATGATGAATTGCGACAATGTAACAATTCTTGTTGAAACAAAACATGTTGAAACATCTTTCTGAAATTTTTCAAACAATAAATAAAAAAATAGTTCAAGTGTGAATGAATGAATGAAAGAAGTTTGAATTTATATGAATCAAAATGTAGTTACTTTCAACAACATTAAGTTTTTCGTCAACTAGACAATTTATAAAAAGCAAAACTGAATTGAAAATAACAACGAATGAATGAAAACAGAATGATGGATGTTAACTAAAATGGATGAAAGAAAGAAAGAATGAACGAATGAATGAATGAATGAATGAATGAATGACTAATATTTAACTAATGAATGAATGTAAGAATGAAGAAGTGAATAAAAAACATTAATAAAGTTGATACAGTGGCCTCAGTCTCACCTGATCGTGCCGGTGGGTGAAGAGCATGGACTCGTGATCATACCCACAAACTTGGGTATGATCAGTGGAGTGAGGAACTTGTGATTTCGTATAAGGTCTGTGGCTGTTGCTACTGACGTAGTTGTTGCCACAGATGAAGTTGCAGTTGTTGTTAGAGCTGTAGCTGACATAAATCTGGTACTCGTTAATGTAGTTGTAACTAAAAAAGCTGACGTAGCCGATGATAATGACATAGAAGGTAACGGTAGAAAATTAGTTGGGAGGTGGGGAGTTGGTGAGAGGAGGGGCGTGTTGCTGCTTGCGTCGCTGTCATTGATGCTGTTGTTGTTGTCGTTGAAGATGTAGTTTCTGCTGTCGCCATCAAACTCCTGTTCACTTGATTCCAGATCAATTAACGATTGGAAACTGATCTTTATCATTGTGCTGGGGAACCTTAATGTGCACCTTTTCAGATGAAATGATTGGAAAAAAAAGTATTGAAAAGAATAAACGAATGAAAAAAAGAAAAATCTGATCCAATAAATGTGCTATAAAACCAGAGTCTTATTTCATATAAATAAAAAAAATAAATAAATAACATTTTTGAATTAGTTAGTGAAAACAGTAAATACAATAGCATTTATAACTGAAAATTATTCAACAAAATTGTCATATTAAACATAATCAATAAAATTTCTGATAAAGATATTTGTGATAAGGACATATCTTTCTAAACTAAATTATTACAAACGATAAATATAATTTTTATAAATAATGAGAACCAAGAAACTAAAATGTGTAAGAGTGTCAAGTCAATAAGCAATGACTCACTTGCTTGGAAGCTGCATAGGAACGCCACCTTTCCTCTGAAAAACACCATCCACAAATATTCCATTCTTGCCAGCACAAGATATAAAAAATTTGTTATCAGCATTTGGTACAAAGAACACGTTGAAATGACATCTGCTGACAAAGCTGGATGGCTCCATATTGATGTCAACCTAATTATTGAAATATGAAACAAAATTAATGTAGCAAACAACAACAATTAATTAATTTAATGTAGTCAACTAAAAAGTATTGTTATACTTTGTGATACTAATTTATAAAATTTCATTTATCAAGTTGAAAATAATTCAGTTAAAAGATTTCTACTTTTAAATAAAGTCAAATATCATTCCAAATAAATCAAATTTACTTTATTTTTTGCAATTTAAAATATAACTTTTGTATCAAAAATATGAAAAATTTAAAATTTTTGAAATTCAAAAATACTGATAAAAAAGATTCTATACGAATTTTTCATTTGAAATTCAAAGTTTGAAATGAAATTATTTATTGTATCTATCAACATTCGACACAGAATCAAACTAAATTAAATTTAATTTAAAATATTTAAATAAATAAAGATTAAAGAAAGAACAAGAACTTCTCAGCAAAACTGAAAAAACAGTTTGAAACACAAACAAGGAAAAAAATAGAAGAAGCCAACCTCTCCCTTGCTACTGCACCTTCCAACAGTCACATTTCTTTGCGGCAGTCTCATGATGTACTCGAAACCCCTCCCCTCAAACTTTGCAATGGCCTGCCCCTGCCCCTTTGACGAATCATCACTCCAGCAGTCTTCCAACGCCTGCAAACGTGAGGGACTGGTCGGTGCAGACCTGAGCGATAACAATGCCAGTGCATCCTTCGCAGAAACCTTTTGAGATGTGCCAATCATAATTTCACTAAAAGTTGTCAGCACTTCTCGTGAAATTACCCGCTGGCACTGATCGACAATTAGTTACACGCTCGACTAGCACACGATATCCGACAGACAAGATGGCGTCTGTTTACATACAACCATAAAAATCATAGCAATGCAATAGTAAACATATGATTATCAATTTGGCCGTCGATTTCTAAATTGCACACTTGCTGTTCTCGTTATTTAAATCAAAATGCAAGCTATCAAATACGTTGTCAACGTGTCTAAATGGCGGAAAGGTTAGTTGCATTTGTTAAAACAACATTTTTGTACGAGGCAAGTCATATGGGGTGTTGTTTTGTTGTTGAACCACAATCAAGAGAGCTCCCATTAAAGATAGAAGCTATGAAAAATTGTAAACAAACAAACGAAAGAACGTGCACACCACAACATTATCAAATAGAATGTATTTATATATGCTACACAACAAACAGACACACTCAGACAGTATAAACACAAGCTTTAAATACATATACACACTTGCATAATTCGTATGGCCTGATATATACATGAAGAAGAGTAGAGAAGTGGTGTATATATAGGTAGAATATAAATACCTTGCTGGCTGTGAGCTACAGCTCGCGATTGCTGCCGCTGGAGCTGTTGTGTTCTATTTATTTTTGTACATATTCATAACGGTGCTGCACAGCCAGTGTATTTAACCGTTGTTGATATTTTTATTATTGTTGTTGTAGTAGATGTTCTTATTATTGTTACTATTGCTGATCTTTTGTAGGCCAAAATAATGCGTAGAACGCTCATACTAGGGTGTGCATAATGTGGCTTTTTTGTTTTAAGTTCAATAATCGATGCATTTGTTACGTTAAATGATTTAGCAAACTGCATTTATTTTATTACCAACAAGCAATTTTCACAAAAAGGCTTGTATATATCATTTTATACATCATTTTAACAATAACTTAGCAATTAAAATGTCAAAACACAGAAGGATCTCTGCTGCTAAACACAGCTACGCAAATAAGTAGTATGCACGATGCATACATGCATGTGTATAACCACGCTTCAACATTCTAACTGAACTGCCGGCCGTGGAATTAGTTTAAAAAAAGAACGATAAAAAATAAACGGTGTCGTCTTGCGTGTGCATCTGCAGGCGTACGCTTCGAAAGTCATGCACGTTCCTTCAAAAGATCTTCTAGTTAAACATCCTGTGCGAACGCTACCAGCCGATTTATTCGGCAACACATGCACTGCACTGTAAGAATGTTCCTTAATGAAGCAGGGACTTTCTTTGGTCGACGCTGGTAATTCAGTCGTTCAAGCCGAATTAAACCAACTTGAAGAATAAATATTATCAACCGATTTATTTAATAAAAAATGTGTCTCATTCAAATTAACACGCGAAACATATAACTTGCCGAAATTTTTGAAACATTTAACTTTAAGCTTTTGAAATTTTTTCAGAAACTCCAAATTTTATTTGTCAACCAATGTTTACCAAAAGAATGAAATAAGGTAATTTTCTTAGCTTCTAACATGTTTTTGGTTATTTTATCGTCCGCTTTTGCGTGCCTACAACAGCGTGAAATTATTAAAGTTGGGTAATATTGACGGATTTGGATAGGAAATCTAAACAGAATTTTCCGGTTCTTTCTCTGTTAAAAAACTTTCATCATAATTATCTCAGTTTGCACAACGTATGTTAATGTTATAAATGAAATGACGCTAATAATTTTTGTTATCATATTTTCAAATAAAAGAAATAAAGGATTTCAAATAAAGGATCTATTATTTTATTCGGAACACAACGGAAGTATAAATTAATAAAAACTATGGAGTCAGTTAATTTAACCACTTGCAGTTTGGCAGCGTGCAAGATTCGACTACAAATTATAATACAACTACATGTATCTACGTTTGAGATGTTTTGATCAGTTTTGTTGGTATCATGTATCGTATGAAACAAATAAGAATATAACGGTATACGCATTGTGTATATGATTGATCTGACAAAGAATATATACATATTTGTTTGAGCTAGCAAACAAATTGTATTCCTGTTTCAATATGTAGATCTCATTAAAATTTTGAAAAAATCTATTCAGTCCTGATGAAAATGCTTTCAGTTTTTGTAATATACAAACAAATTTATATTTTTTAAACTGTTAAAAAAGTTCGTTCCATGTTTTTAAAAATGTTTTTCTTTTTATAGGATTAGTCTGAGTATACAAACAACACCGTATTAAATTATCATAAGCTTCTCATTCATGTACTTTACGTTCACACAGGAATGGAATCCAAAATTTGTGTTAAAAGTCTGTGAAAGGATGATCAAGACGGTTTGATGGAAAGCATGGAAAGCTTAGCAATTGTCAATATAACTATAAATAATTAGATGTAGTTTTCTAGGCACAAAATCTTTCGAGACATAACCGATCATAAAAGATTAATTATGATTGTTCACAAACAAGTCCACACAGGTTTGTAAGTAACATGGAGGTGGTCAT